CTATTTCGTCCATAATAATTACATAATTCTCCTATAACACCTTGCTACCCCAATATTCCAAATAATCGTTAATTTTTTACAGAGAATGACCAAAATGACTTAAATGGATTTTGTTTTCCTGAGTGTTCTTGACCTTTTTTTCTGGTTTAATTACTATCCTTTGAACCAGATGGTAACCTCCTGGGACATTTTCTTTGTCATCATAATGTGATATTGGATTTCATGCCTTGTTAGACAACTTTATCATGATACACTCTTTGGCCTAAGAAATACTCCCTCATGACTATTTCAAAGATGGTGATTTCTTCTTTAATCACATCAGGAGTTGAAACACACTTTCCACCTGGGTTTTGTCTTGATGGCTTCAGGTCATATATGCTCACCTGGTCAGGTTTAGAGCTGCTTGCTGTCCGTTACAGGGAGGAGTTCAGGCAGTGGACAGCCATGGCAGTTTGGAGAGTAAAGCAGGCAAAGTGACTAAAAGTTCACTTTAGTTCAAAACGTAACTGGGACTCAGAAACAGGAAGACACCTTTAGTGGTTGACTGAGAATCCTTAACTTCTCAACTTGGGGATTTTAGGATTTCGTTTATACGTTTGTTCAACTTTGCCTCTTCTGTGCCTGGTGTTTTAGTCCGTTATGTTGCTAGTAACATAAATGCCTAAATCTGGGTACTTTATCAAGAATTCAGGTTTATTTTACTCATGGTTTTGGAGGTTCAGGGTCAAGGGGCTGTATCTAGTGAGGGTCTTTTTGTTAGTGGGGAGTCTGCGGAGTCTTGAGGTGGCACAGAGCGTCACGTGGTAAGACAAAGCAAGAACAGAGCATGTGTGTCCCTGTCTGCTCTTCTAAAGGTTACAGGGGTCAGACATGGAGGCTCCAGCCTGATGACGTCATGCAATCCCAGTCAACTTCCAAAGCCCCACCTTTCAACATTGTAAACAGATGGTCTCCACTTTCTCAACACGGTTACCATGGTTCACCAGATTTCAATACATGAATTTCGGCGGGACACATTTAAACCTAGCATCTGTCTACAGACTTTAGTATTTGTGAAATTGCATGAGTTGAAGTCAATAAAATATTATCCACCATAAAAACAAGTGAAGAGAGGTGACCATATAGTGCAGTGATTAGGTGCTATGTAAAGGGAGGCAGATCCCACATGGCTGACTGCAGTTTGAACCTGGCTCCGGTGCTTGAAACACACACAGGGTGCATGTGTGTATGCATGCCCCAAATTCTGATGGGTTAGAAAAATGGAAAAAAAACAAAAACAAAAACAGAAACAGGGTTGTGGCACGACCATGCCCCTGAGGAGATTTCTCTCTCTCGCCCTGTGTCCTTTGACAACTAAAAAAAAGTGAAGAATGAAAACAGTCTTATGATAATCAAGGATTTTCTATTATGTAAATTTTCACTGAACTATGCTTTACAGGTGGTGTTTCTCAGATAATTAAATTCCATATATCAGTGGCAGTTCATTTCTTTTAACTTTGAAAACTTGGCTATATAAATCATTGCAATCTTTTTTGTTAGCTCTTTTGTAGTTTGTGTTAAGATTTGACACCAATAATCTTAGTTTTAGGAGTTTATTTCAATCTCAAGAAAGTAATTCAAGATAAAAGTTACTGACATACAATATAAGTTTCTTGATAGAAAAATGGGATGTGAATTATGGTGTATCCATTTGGTAAGAATATTATGTAGCCAGTAAACGGATAGTTTTTTTTTTCCCAATTTATTTATTTGCATTCATTCACTGTACATCATTACAGCATACAAAATGAGATTTTCCATCTAGAGTACACTGTATGTTGTCTCAATCAAGCACATCAACAAATATGTTATTCTTAGCAAATGATCTCCCATTTCTTGTTTTCTGTATGTTTTGCTTTTCCCCCCCCCATCCTTGGTTCTCTATCTTTTACCCTCTGCCACCTCTTGTTATCCTCCCACACTGTCTCTGTTATCTATGTTTGCTTTCTATACCATTTCCCCCCCACATTTTATTGAATCACCAAAGACCCTAGTCAATCCGAATACCCTCCTAGCAAACACATGTGACACACACATTTCCATGAGCACAAGTCTAACTTTACACATCCTATAAAGTAGCACCTAACTGGAGCTACATATCCTACTGCAGTCATTGAATAGATACATTTTTTTTCCTGAAACTTTTTTTT